GATTATCACATACTCAAACAGGATGGATACTGCAAAACAACTGTTTGAAATGATGCGTGTACTTCCACTGGACTCTGTTCACGTGTCCAGTGTTGCTGATATAGTGCATAGAATAATAAAACGTGATGACCTATTCCCATTAAGCACCTTTACGTTACCCGCGCGCTGTACAAGAGCTGCAGCGAATCACTGTTTTAATTTACCGGTAGCCAGAAATGCCTATGGTCAAAGGCTCATAGAATTTCACGGCGCTCTCGTATGGAATGCAATACTGACTGATGTGAAAGAGGCCAGAAATTTTTCATTGGCCATGAAGCATGCACTTCATGTGAACTTTCTAAGTAATACGAATAGTCAGTTAGTGTTAATAATATTATTATGATTATTATTATTCTAGTGCTATTATTATTCTGTGCTATAAGTAGCTATGTTCTCTGCGCCATGTTTCTTTGTATACCATAATTACTCGAATCTAACATGCACCTTTTTTTCGGTTAAGCAAGTTCATAAATCGCATGTGCGTTAGAATCGAGTACGAAAGAAAAAATGAATACGGTCATTCTATTGCCATCGGCACTTCCAAAATGGCCGCCCCCTTCGTGCTTCGGCATGGCGCGTCGGCCGTTTCTGCCTATGTGTTTCCCATGTGCGGCACTTCGTACGTGTGCTGAGGAGTTCGTCATCTTGTTGTGCATTAGCATCGACGGCATGGTAGGGCCGACTCCAAAAACTTGACGAGTGCACCACAATGCCGCTTTTAAAAGAAAAGTCATCGCGTGTGCCGAAACGGACGGAAATCGGGCCGCATCGCGGTCGTTCGGAGTTCCCGAAACGTGCGTGCGGGACTGGCGGAAACAAAAGCAGATTATTGTCGACAGCAAAGATGCACGCAAAGGCTTCAGTGGACCACAGCAGGGTCGGTTTCCACAAATTGAACAGCTGCTCGGCGAGTATGTGATTAAGCAGTGAGCGGCACAGCGGCCCGTGACGACAGAACTGCTCTAAGTGCAGGCCATGCAGTTAGCCTTAGAAAAAGGACTAAAGCGGAGCCAGTTTAAAGCGAGCAGGGGCTGGCTAACTAACTTTATAAAGAGGAAAGGCTTTTCCCTCCGAAGGCGAACGGGCATATGCCGGAAGTTGCCTGAGGAGTACGAAGAAAAGCTTCACAGTCTTCAGAGGTTCGTCCTAAACTTGCGGCACAACAACGGCTACCTGCTTGGGCAAATCGGGAATGCTGTTCAGACGCCTCTTTAATTCTACATGCCTGGCACCACAACCGTCGAGGAGAAGAAGGGGAAGCAAGTTCGTGTGCTGACATCGGGCCACGGTATAACTAGAGTGACAGCAATGCTCTGTTGCACGTCAGATAGGCACAAGCTTCCCCCGTACCTCATATTTAAACGGAAGACGCTCTCGAAAGGACTCGTTTTCCCGAGTGATGTGATCGTGCGGGCCAACGAGAAATAGGTGCACGTTGCAATCGATGTCCTAGTTTTTTTTTTTTTTTTTCTGTCGTGGAAACCGGACGTGCGTTAGAATCGAGGGCGCGGTAGAATCGAGTAAACACGGTAATTCAATCATGTGTTTTTTTTTTTGCTTTTTTTTGTTTTTTTTCTTTCTATTTTTAAACATTGTATCCAGCTTGATGTCCTTTGTCGCTGTGTAACCGCTTGCGCAAGTATGTAGGTATGTCACACAATTGGTCCCTCTACTAGTCAGTTAGGCTACGGGACCAAACAAGTGTTTGCGAAGTTTTTTGTTACATGGATGTAAAAGTTACAAAGTTACAATATTTAACATTATCTGTACAAACGTTTCAATATAATTTTGAAACACAAGGTAATAGAAGACCCCTTCTGTATTCACTGCGCAAACTCAGCCTAAGATTCTGCTACATCAGTGCAGCCGATGAAGTAAAATGTGAAGCAGATCATGTTTCTGAAAATAAAAAGCAGCTCTCGGAAAAAAAAAGCGTGAAGGCGCCGACACGCTATCACGAGCACCTCTGGAATCCAATCACACAGCTGTAGAAGATGACAGTGCCTTCCTGGGGACTCTCAGTGGGGCGAACCTCCTCAGTAAGCAACGAGCGGACCTCGAGTTAAGGCCCATTATCGATCATTTAGAAAGCAGCACCGCGTCTGTTCCTCGTCCACTTTCACGTACGTTGCCGTCATTTTGCTTACGACACGGCATATCATACAAGAAAAGCACCGGTGTCGGTAGCAGATTTTATCTTCTAGTCGTTCCTCAAGACCTTCGTGATAACATCCTATTAGCCTGCCACGATGAGCTGACATCCGGGCATCTGGGATACTCACGGACGCTCAACCGGGTACGACAGCTATATATATTTCTTGCCAAAACTCGCAGCTTGTGTCAAACGCAACATGAAAGGATGCCGCGAATGTCAGTGTTGCAATTCAACACATGTAAAGCTTGCGAGCCTCTTACAACCCATTGACCCACCACATACGCCATTTGACCAAGTTGGGATAGATCTCCTTGGACTGTTTCCTTTGTCTCACTCTTGAAACAAGTGGATTATCGTCGCAACTGATTACTTGACACGTTACGCTGAAATGAAGCCACTGCCTCGCGGTACAATATCTGAAGTCGCCCAGTTATTCATGGACCACATAGTGCTTTGTCACGGCGCCCTGTCATTCATCATCATCACTGACCGAGGGACAGCGTTTACGGCAAAACTGTTGGTCAACATCTTCAAGATCAGTTACATGAACCACCGTAAGACAACCGCATACCACCCCCAGAGTAATGGCTTGACAGAAAGGCTAAACAAAACACTGGCGGACATGATTTCTATGTATGTGGATGTGCAGCATAAAACGCGGGACGAGATCCTGCCGTACGTAACATTTGCGTACAACACCGCAACCAAGGAAACGACAAGGTTCGCACCCTTTCGCCTCATTTACGGTCAAGACTCGTGTGCACATGAGATCGCAGCAATGTGAAGATGCCCGAAGGTACAATATCCACCATCGACTAGTCACTTATCAACCTGGTGACCAAGTGTGGGTTGGGACTCCTGTTAGACAGCGAGGTCTCAGCGAGAAACTCCTGAGCAAGTACTTTGCACCCTACAAAGTATTGCGGCGGTTGAACGAGGTCAACTATGAAGTCATTCCAGACAGAGGCTCGGCAACGACCCAGCGCCACTCACCACGGACAGAGACTGTGCATGTCGTCCGCCTAAAACCTTATTTTACGTGGTAATACTCACCTTATTGTGCCCAGGCAGCAAACATTTTCTTTTTTTTTACGTTGTCCATAGGGTCTCGAACACACTTTGAACTGTGGTAATGTTTTTTTTTTCTTTATGACCAACCACAGACATGTTTTTTTTTTGCACCTGCATATGCCCTGTGCACCAGAAGTATCGTTTCTCCCTTTCTTTTTTTTTCTCTTATAGGCCCTGCTGTCCCCTTGTGCATGAGAATCGAGTCGATGCTCTATTGGGAGGGGTAATAATGCCACCCTAGAGTTGTGAGCCGGCAAGCCCTAGCGAACCGAAAAGTGCAAAGAGAACAAAGAAGAAGTGTGTGTTAGCGCTTCGTTTAAAAGATACATGCTCGTGTCTTTCTGCCCCGCTGTTCCTGTCTTGTCTTCACGGCTCTTGGTGCGTGAAAATATTATCTTCAAATGAATTCATCATTTTCTTAACCTTAAGAGTTTGTTATGACTGCTTACATGCTTAAGGTATAATAAATTTTAAGATGTTATGTATTTCACAGGTTATCAGTTATCACTCGCATCCTACTGAAGGTTGAATTCTGCTACTACAGAACATTTAGTCGACTTCCTTCGAATGAAAAAAAAAAAAAAGACATTTGTATAGAGGCCCTATTTAAATTAAAAAAAAAATATTCTGCAGGTTAGTTGTTGTTATGATAATACCCATTTTTGTTTATATGTCAATATACTGCTTGAATTCGATTCGAAATTATTGTACTAAAACCACTATTCGCTTCAAACTTAAAATTCATTATTCACACAAACATAGTGAATGCTCCAGCGCTTTAAATATTCTACGGAATACCATATTTACTCTTCCAACAGGCGAGTTTTTTATCCAGAATATCGGGTTCCAACTTCGGGGCGCTCCTATTAGGCGGGGTAAAATTTCCAAAAATTTTATTCCCGATTACAGCTCAGACCACTGATAACGTATGCGTTGCCGAAGTCACAAATATCCGCACTGCAGCTGAAACAGCCTTTTTCATAGGCTTCACTAGCGTAAAACGTCTTGAGCATGCAGTCTCGCGTGTCCAAGAATCAAGATGTTTGATGTGGTATGGGTTGAAATTTCCAAAAAAAAAATAATATTGAGAGACGCACGTTCCCAACAAAATGACAGCAGCTGAAGCCACGAGTTGTCATGCCATATCTTCATTGTACACTTTCATCATGGATGGAGGCTGTCAGAGATGCATAGTGGACCACGTGATAAAATAAACGTCGCTTATGATTACCTCTGGATACCTCAGAAAGCGTGACTGCGAGAGGCGGCGAGAAAATGAGTAAGTGTGCGAGGAGTGTTAATTGTGCACAAGTGTGCAGAAACATGATGCATACTAGGAGGTTCATATTGCAGAGACATGGTGTTATGACATGCATGAATTGTGAGTAAACGAGGACAAGGTTATATTTTCATTGTCCCCATGGGGTTCATAATGCTGTAACACTGTGCTGAGACATGGGCCGCGTAGTATTTCAGCTGCCCTTCTTTTGAATAGTGTGCCCTTACAACAAGCCATGATTTGAGGAGTGTGTGCAGGGCATGTGGAAGACAATTTTTAACTGGACTGGCTTCCTAACTTGATTTGTGGTAACAGGCTTGCCCTTAATAGTGTTGGTTTATTGGCCTGTGTTGATTATCAAGACTGCCACAGTGTGACACATGCCCTTGGTGAAGTTCATGTATTGCATCCATCTGATAGGGACTCCTGTGACATTTTCTCTGCTCATATTTACAGGGAAGGTGCTCCCGCCACAGCAACTCACACGGTGTCGCTCCCATCAGCGCCAGTGCAGGCGTGCCCCCTCCTGTTGGAGCTGGTGGCACCGGCACACGGTCGGGTGCGCACCCCCCTGACTGTCAGCTACCTGCTGCACAACCGCACCTTGCTCGTACAGGACGTCGAGCTGGTCATGGACTCCAGTGATGCCTTCATGTACTCGGGCAACAAGCTGGTGAGCATATTTTCATCATACTGGGAGATATTTTCATCATTCTATTAGTAGAATGCTCTTTCGCGAAACCAAAAAAAAAACGCTTGCTGCGAGACGATCCTTTTGTAATGTAGAAAGCATGCAAAAAGAAAATGCAGGTGGTGATGTCACCATGAAGTTCATGGCGGCGTAGATTTTGACAGCATCTGCTGGGGCTTTTCTCATTCCTAATCAAGAATGAAGTTATTTGCGTTTCGAGGGAGCCAGGGACAACTTAGAAAGGTTCAAAAAGTTTCGTTGAGCCGATGGGGCCAAAATATGGAAAGAGTCACTCGGAAATTCATGACATTACCTTTGGAGGTTGTGCCAGTCAATTTAAAGGTGAAATTTTTATTATGGGTTTTCTCATGCATATTAACACACCTATGGTAGTTAAACTACCAACAGCAGAATTAAAGTGATGAGTAGAACTCATCACTTTAATGTAATTTATTACTTCTCTTTAGTGTCTCTTCATTAAATCAGTAGTACATACAGGAAAAACAGAGTTAGCTTGAGGCATTTAGCATGTGTTTATTCAGAGTGCTTTTTTTCAGTCTGGTGCAATTTTATCATGCCTTTTTTTTTTGTGGTATGAAAAACAGAGAATGTGTGTCTGCTTTCATGTGTGCAATGTTTTTCCTGTGGTGTTTGTTTTGCTTCTGTTAAATATAATCCACCACTGCATACACATCTTCAGTTCTGGAGTTGTGAATATGTGTTGTGTACACTGCAAAAGTTTAAACCTGGATATCATCACGAGTCAGTAAAATATGAAATTCAACTATTTAGCAATGTATAGTTACCGAAGGGTACATTGTTATGTGGAAAGTACGCAGTAATGTTTGAATAATACAGTAGTGTGAAAAAAAATTGTCCAAAGAAAGAATATTTGTTGAACGCAAGATTTGGTGAACACGATTTTGTGCTGCAATCATAAAGTCCTCTTCACAGAACTTGTGCATCATGTGTAAAGACTAAAGAACTGCAAACATGAAGCTTGACATACTGGGTAATGTATGTTAAACGAAATTATACCTATTCGGGCACAGTGGCTTGCCAACAAAATCTTGGGTATTGCCTGAGTGGTGTGACACCGATGTTATCATGTTCGCCTAACCTAACCACTCAGTCTCCACTCAGTCTGTTGAACTGGCAACATTGAAAGCTATTGTGTGTAGAAAAAAAAACGAAACAGGCCTGGTATGAAATCATGCCATAGCAGAACAGGCCAAATTGCAGCTCCACCATTTATGGCACTCGCCTTTTGTTTCACATCATTGTGCACCAAATTAAGAACAGGGTTAAGTTAATTAAAACCATAGATGCCATGTTAAGTCGTTAGCATGCAGTGCTATATGGTGTAACGTTGCCTTCTGTCAATTAAATAAAGTTGTACATGTACACAAAATCACAGCTCTGATCTTACCGACTGGTCTAATTGCCAGCATAAGGAGATCCGTATTTAGAATGACGCCTGTGCTAAAGGTCTGGTTATTGCTTCAGGTGTGCTGCTCTGAAAAGGAACAAGACATATTGTATTTACTTGCATAATCCTCACACTTTTTTTGTTGGCAGAAAACCGATGCAAAGGTGGAGGGTGCGAGAATTACGAGGGGAAAACTTTCCACGAAAACGTACAGAGCAAAAAAGAAAATGAAGTGGCCGCAAATTGGGATTCTCACACCAGCAACTAACAGCAAGCTTTGAGAAGTAATAATTAAATCTTACCTCAACATTAAAAGCACAGATTCAGCACAATGCAAGATTTATTTTAGACACAAAAAGTGCAAGCAAATAGTCATGAATTAGAAAACCATACGCAAAGCTTGTGGGTGTTGCGGGCATAATGGTAGTGGTAGCAGAGCCGGCCCAACGCGTCGTGGTGGCTTTCAGCTGCCGTCCCCAGTAGCGAACACAAAACTCGTAGTAGACACCGAAGGGCCTACCGGCGGTCCTGTTGTCGTTTTTTAGGGCATGATCTATCACTTTCAATCTAAAAGCAGCCGTGTAGCTTCAGTATCGCCCCATAACGTGACAAGATTACCGACGCAACATACAAAACATGCTGCAACGCGCACTTGCCACTTTGGCTTGGCTTGGATTGGAATTAATCTCTGTGCAATAATAGTACGCTTGATGGCGGCAGATGGTGCACGCTTTCATCATCAGTGGCTAGAATGAGCAGACAACATTATTGCGGTAGTTTTCGGGGGTGCGATAATTACTCGAGGAAAAAAGAAATCGCATTTTTGTTGGGCGATGGGGGGGTTGCGAGAATTATACGATTACGAGGATTACGCAAGTTAATACGGTACTTCATCGATGGAACGGCCTTTTTTGCGTTTGAATCCACCAGGCTGGTGATACAGTTGACACAAATGTTTAAAATGTATGGGCTACACAAATATTGGATACTCATATGTAGATGCACGCACAATACACTTTATTGCAATGATTTGTACACTTGATGGGATCTAAAATTGAGCTGACTAATAGAGTAAATGTTTTAGTGATTGGTGATAAACATTTGCTGTCTATGTTCTTCAATTTATGCTCATAAAACTCCCCAAAAAATAAATAATAGCAATGTTATGACAAAAGCAACAATATAAAGAAAACCGACCTGTACCGTCTGGTCTTTTCTGTGTATTGGCAACTAGCCCACAGTCTATGAAACCCAACTTGGCTAGTCCAAAACCAGACAGGTGGCAATGCTCAACATTGATTTGCTCTCGTGGCAACAGAGAACACTTTCACTGCAACGGAATTTCTTTCCACTGTGGACTTTAATACAGTCAAACCTCGTTATAACGAAGTTGAAGGTGGAGTCGTGATTACTTCATTATAACCATTAGTTCATTTTAGCCATATCTATTTTTACCTACAATTAGCCAGCAAAAGAGATTGTACACGCCAATGAATATCACAGCAGCCTGCCACGCAGAGAAAAACGGCCGTCGGAAGGCAAAAAATAGCAAAATGACAAAGAACAATGCGCTTCATTACCACCAAATTCTGCACACCAGCTGGCAGATCACTTAAAGAAAGATTGGTCTCAATATTATTGACTTTTGCGGACTCTTCCTCACGCGGATTACTGCTTTTTCATCTGCAGTAGCTATTTTGATTGTATCCTCGCCATCATCGTAAGCACCAAAGAAGCAGCACAGCAGCTCTGTCGCATCCAGTGCTTGCGCGGGCGTCGGTAGGTCGGGTTCGCCAACATTATGCTCAGGGTGTGGACACATTCGTCACTGTCGTCATGCTGTCGTCATGCTCAGAAACTGATAGAGATGGTGTTGCTCTTCTACTGCGAACGACACGGAAGAAACCCACAATCTCCACAGCCCGGGCGGCCTGCGAGGCCCCGGCGCAGGGCTGAAAGAAAGGAGGAGGTCAGATGCGCGAGCGAGTCAGCAAGTTCTACAGGAGAGGGGAAGCCGGCTGACGCGCATGCTCGCGTGATTTGCTGCGCAGGCAAGCTAAGTAGTTTTTGAGGAAAGGGGAAGCAGAGAGACTTGCTCTCACAGGTGTGTTTGCAGGCTGCAGGGCGCTCCCGGGGAGCGCAAAGCGCGAGTATTGAATTACCAAAACAGTGATGAGACGTAAATCGTCGCGCCCTATAAGATATTGAATTGCATACGAAATATTCTGCTTTGTTATAACTAAGTTTTACTGTACTTACTGCTTCTCTCCGTGCAGCTGCACTTCCGCATCCTCCCACGTGAGTGCCAGACCCTCACGTACAACCTGTACCCATTGTTGCCGGGATACGTGCCCTTGCCTCGTATGCACTTGGTGCTCGGGCCAGGCACCGCGGCTGCCTCCACCCTCGACAGCCTCCTCAACGAGATGCTGCCCTCGCACATCTTCATCATGGTGAGCGAGCCTTCAGCTAGTTTCTTCATGTTCTCCTCTCTTCCTTAAAAAAAAAGATATCTGGGTGTGGTTCTGGTGTTACAGTGAAGTCTTGGTGTAACGAACCCCACATTAAAGAACTTTTGAAAAATCCTGTGCCAACTGCTAATAGATTCAATGCAAAATTATTTCACTACTACGTACTTCAGAATACCAAACCTTTCAAAATAACGAATGTTAATTTAGTTTTGCATTATATTAACAAAGCCTCTATACTACGAACTCATGTTCTGAAATCCGTCGCGACCACCGGAGTGGTGTGCAAGCAGATGACAAAGTGAATGGACACCTTGCTTCTCGGAAGACACGCGACGGTGCTGAGGGAAAAAAAAGGAAAACAAAAGGGCGACCTTCTTTTCTTTCTTTTTGTTAAACCCTGATGCTGCAGGTTTACAAGTGCAGAGGCGAGGGGCAAGGGCAACACGAGAGGGCAACGCCGGCGAGGCAGAGTGAGAGTTGCGGAGTAAGAAGCATGGGCACGGAAAACCTGAGACAGTGAGGGAGCAGAAAATTAAACGCCAGGAATATTCTTTTTTAGCATTTTTTTTTTTTTTCAAAAGAGGCAATGATAGCCGCGACGCTTTGGGTGTTTCTTTCTTTGTCACTTCTACATGTGCCCTAGGAGGCCTTGTTTGTTAGTCGTGTTCATCTCTTTTCAGTGATTACTTACCGCGTCTGCAAAGCGAGTCGGCGTTCGCGCTGCGGTGCTACTACAAATGAGTTCATTTTTGCTTGCGACTAAGAAGCGGAAGCAGTTTTCACTAAGCGAGAAAGTGGATATTCTCCGGCAACTGGAAGGCAAAAAGCAGGCTGTTGAGACCAAAGAACCGAATCGCATCACAGGAATGTTGATGAGCTGGAGGCCTTCGTGCTGCAAAGTTTGTGCTGCACACATAAAAAAAAAAAAAAAAAAACAGACTTCTTTAAAGTAAATGTGCATTTTTAGGTGTTCACCAGTGCATTTGTTTTTTTCTCATGAAAAATGAGTTCAAAGACCCATCGTTGTAAAGGTTAGTCATTTTGGTCAATGGAAATTAAGTATTTATGGTTAATTCTTATACTTTAACTATAATGACCTTCAGAACAACGAACAAATTGCCGCAGCAACTTGAAGTTTGTTATACCGAGATTTCACTGCAGTGGTTAAGTGAGTGATTTGGCGTACAAAACATTTTATATGACAATATTTGCTTGAGATGATACATCATAAGGTTGTTGCTGAAAGGACAACGTTTAGACAAGTTCATGCACTGCTTGTCGTGCTAAAGGAAGCATAGTAGGCCTCTTCCTGTAGTCATGCGAAGTTGTTGGAAGCACCGCTTTGAGCTGGTGAGTCTCAGCGTATGCAGCTTGGAGACTTGTTTTGCAAATCAAATAGACCCACTGGTGCCAGGTCAGTATGTAGGAAATTTTGTCTTAAGAACCTCCGAGGTGGATGTTTGCAGACGTTTGGCTGCTTCAAGTGGTGCAGTTAAACCCCTATATGAGAGGCATCCTCCGGGCAGCAATTTTTTTCTTTCATAGGAGATGTCTTTTATAAGCTGGGAACCTCATATGCATTTGCCTATTATTCCCCATATTTTACTGTTGGCATACTGGTGTCCCTTATACTCACTTGTCTCTTACATCAGTGTCCCTTATAAGGGGCTTCGACTGTACAAAAGAAACACACACACACAGGGTAAACAATGTACAGCCCTTAGCTGCTTTAACTAGAACGCTCCGACGCGTGGCCTTGGCTCGCTCAGACTGAGGTCAGCGCTGCCAAACGTTGAAAATGATGTGTTTGCTGCAGTTAACGATAGATGAAACGCACGTCAGTTTCACTAGTAAATTTCTGTTTCCAGTCTGCCTGACCAGCGGGTCGAATGCATTCACTTGGCATCTCGTTTTCGCCATGCTTCTCTCGCAGCTTCATTATCGCATGTGCCCAGTCATTCATTCTTGTATATGTACTCATCACGGCAATGAACCATTGTGTGTGACAGCTTACTCACCTTTCGAGTTTGAATTTGCAGCTGCTGCTCGAAAGAAACCACATGTATTAAAAAGCTGAGCAAACAAATGTTTGTGGTGTTTATAAATAAATATGCAATGCAGTGGCATTGCTCATGTTCTGATTCATTAGTTTTCAGACAGCATGAATTGAACTGTTCTCGCAATTTGGAGTGTGCCTTCTTGTTCAATTCACGTTGCACAGATATTGTCTTGGAGCGCAATGTTAGTGTGTATTCTCAGCAAGCATGACGAGTAGATACAACGCAAACAAAGTAATTTTCATGCATAGTTATCGCATAAAAATTGCCATCTTATCAAAAGGATACTGACTCTTTAAGTAAAAAGAAAATACTTATCATAAATGAAATATTTTAGACAGTAGCAGTGTGAATGTGCACATAAAATAACTCTTTGCCCCATCACATCTTCCTAATGCGGTTACCCCAACACCCAGTGGTAGTCACTATTCAAAAGCCTATTTTAAAAAAGAAAAAGGTTGAACAAGAGTAGCTATTTTTGATACCTGAACATATGTTTAATTGCAACAATATGAAGAAAGCTTGTTAATGCGTGCTTTCTACTGAAGCCATTTGCTGGCAATAAATGTTTTTACCACCACCACCAACTGGTTTTGAACTAGTTTTCAATAGGATACATACAAATATCTTTAATGGAATGTCTTGTGATTATTTGGGACGTGCAAAAGGTCCCACGTAATTTTGACAAATGCTGTATGTAATATGTTAACTGATTTTTCACGTAAAAAGATTAGGCAGGGTCGATAGAATCGAGTGTGTGTTTGCAGAAGCGTGTCATTTCAGAAAAACAGACACTTGGTTGCTGCTCACATGTAAAGGTACTTGCAGGAACCTGTGTTCATTTCAAAAGTTTAAAAGGCACTCGCACTCCGAGACGCGGCACGCAAGGTGGCTGTTGGATAGATTTGAAAAGCGCCAGAGTTCAAGGAAAGAGCAGCCATGCCATTTAAACTTAATGCTGTCATACACACAAATTATTACATGCAATAATAATTATTACAGGCTCAAACCTTACGCTCCAAGAACACATTTTTCGTGAACGTGAACCGAGTAGGAAGACACACTCTAAACTGCGAGAACAGTTCCATTCACGCTGTGCGAAAATTAATGAATCAGAACATGAACAACGCCAAGGCATTTCAGACTTGTTATTGTGCAACTCTTACAAACGCCATGAATGTGCGTTTACTCGGCTCTTTATATATATGATTTTTTCTAGCAGCAGCTACGAATTCAAACTCGAAAGGTGCATAAGCTTTCACACACAATGGTTCATTGTCAAGATAAGTATATGACAAGAAACGGCATGGGCACATGTGATAACGAAGTCACAAGCGAAACGTGGTGAAACTGGTATGCCAAGTGAGTGCATTCGACCTGCTGGTCAGGCAGACTGGAAACCAAAATTTACGAGAGAAACTGACCCGCACTCTATCTATCGCTAACTGCAGCAAGCATATGAGTTTTAGCACTTGGTGGTGCTGACAGCAGTCCAAGTGAGCCGAGACCACCCTTCAGAGCGTTCGAATTATAGCTGCTGACGGCTTACATTAGATGCTCAATAATTAAAATTTTTGCTTAATTCAAAGAAAGCTTAAGCTTTTGGTTGGCCGATTATGATTTCAATGTATTTTAAGATAGCCTAATTCAAACAGCTCTGTTGCAGATTTGTTACATTCAAACTTTTTGCTCGTGCATGCCTCGAAATATGTGGTGCTTTTGTTGCTTCTAGCTGAACATTCTCGTTTTTGTCACTAACAGTCGCAAATAAAGCCTTTTGCCTGCCAATGATCAAACTAACCAAACTGCACACAAATGGTATGCTGATCTAGGAATGAAAAAAAAAAAAAGAAACAAAGACAAAGGCAAACCCAAACAATCTAACCTTGGTTTATCGCATGAAGACTTCCTAAATCGCTTTCATTGCATTACACCACTGTCATGTGGAAAAGCGTGCTACGTAAAAGGGGTTGTTGATGTCGCAGTACGCAACATATTTCGTGTGTTAATTACAGATGTGTGTATGCAATATATAATAAAGATTACTAGTATGATCGCCGACATCCGAAATTTTTACTGCAAATCATGCAGAGTTGTCTGTGATATTGCTGCAGCTCTGGAAAACAATATAGTACATTTCAACGCTAATCGGTATGTTGCCTGTAGTCTTACGAGAACTTCCGATAATTGTAACAAATTTCTGTGTTTTTCTCTAGCTTGAATTATCGAGGGTCTACTGTACATGTGTGAGCATAGTTGTTCATAGGTGTATTTTTACTTTACGTACGTGTCACATGGGACTACTACTGTCCTGGGGTGCCTAGTTGGTAATTTGTACAGTTGAATTATCTGTGTAGTTATGAGTTGACTATGAAACCTGACAGCATTTTTCTCATCTTGTTCATATGTTATGAAATATTGCCTGGGGTTGTTTACACCATTTTTTCATTTTTTTTGCAGCCGCAGGCCAAGACCTCGACACCCTTCTAAGCGATGGGCATGACCTAGTGAAGATCAGAACATACACTCTAGCTTAACAACGGAAGGTTTGTATATAATGCTGAAGAAAAACAGTTTCTTAAAGAAATAAATTGATTTTGAAAGTTTTTGCTGGCATTTTGTTTTTTCCATCTAAAGCCTTCAGAAGCAGGACCTGCATAGACTTGGCAATGCGTGATGAATCTTGAATGCTTCCCCTATGTCAGTTATGATTGTGCAGCTGTAACGTGAGTCGTTCCACATTTCAGTTACACTTTCTGTTTGCTTAGAGTCTACTGCTATATAGAGCCATTATAATTTTGATGGAATGCACATACTATACCAAAGTACTAATAGTGTAATATGGAAAGTGGAAGCATAATAAATTTATTTACTGAACGAAATGCACAAACATACGTAAACAAGTTGCATTTGGCATCTTTCGAAACTATGACACAGGGTTCCTCTTAATATTGTAGCACTGTAGCACTGTTGCCACGGTGGCATGTCTCAATATTTTATCACTGCACCTATAGGGAAGACCCACGCCATGGAGGGCGCTGTTGTGCCGAGCACTGCCGGTGCATGTTGGGAGTAAAACTCCTTACTCGACTGTTGACCCCTGTGCCTTACCCTTCAAGCTGCTTTGAAAACCCGTTGCTTTGCTGGCATGCTACATGCTTTCTGCATGCATTTTTGACAATTTCCTATTTCCTGTGGTTTGGATGTACATGCGTTTTTTTTTATCCACGTTTAAGATCACCGCAGTGTAAGATTTTTTTTTTTCGTGGCAGCAATTTGTTGGAAGTTCAGCATCTGCTCAACCATTTTGCTAATGCAGAGCAAGTTACAGCTGACGATCTCATAATCATACTCTGTAAGATAGCTTCGTATGAAAATTATTTATCAAATATTCTGCATAGTTCGTTGTTTCAGTCCTTTTTACTTTGAATGAAAAGTATAGTATCCAAAGCGCAATGTGCTTGTTACTAACCGCATTACAATCTTACCCTTAAAATGTGGCACCGGTGTGAAAGCGTTACTTAATAATTGCGCATGTGTGGAACAAATTCTCGCTAAGCGCGAATTCAAAAACCAACAGCTTTAAGGAAATGCTTTAAAATGAATATATAGTCATTTACGCGCTTTCCTGCCTGTCATTCCTCTGCCCCCTTTCTGCATGAGGTACCCATTTCTTATAAGCTGCTGGAAAAATTGTTAAGGAAAGTGCCGACTTGAGTGATTCTTGCAGTTTTTCACAAAATGTTTGCTACAAATCATTATCAAAGCTTTTGGCAGCCACAAACTTATATTGGTGCTGCGTAGATATGAAAAATATGTAACTACACATTAGAAATACCCCAAGCACACAACTTCATGTCCCCAACAATGCCGAACAGCAGTACTAGCAGAATAAACGCATAGCTTTGCCATTGTTCAACAGTGCTCGAAAGATGGAAGTTGAAAGTATGACAATTTGTGCTTTTGAGATGCGGACATGTATCTCCCGGTAACTTGATAGATTACAGGAGTTTACAGTTACAGGAGATTACGGTACAGATAGATTACGTGGGAATTAACTCCTGTTATGTTGAATGCATTACACATGTGCTCATTTCTAAAAACATTTTTACTTTTTTTGGCACACTGCTGTGATTGAAGCCTGTCGTCTGCTTTTTTCGAATCGTCTGTTTGGGAATCTGAAGAATTTCACTGGTCGAGTACACTCCTTGATGTTTACATGGCCATTGTGACAGTTTGCAACGCAATACTGTAGTAATTCCTTCCTCTTTGTCGGGGTGACATCGCGGAACAAATGGTGTTTAACATGCAGTGCAGGCTTCACAAATGCGTAGGAACCAATGAGAGCGTTTGGTTCATAACAGGCTACTGCTGTACACTTTTTCTGGCAGGGGAATAACAACTGCTAATGTCGGCGGGGCCATACTGAAGTCTGTCCCTGCTGTTTCCAAGATTTAGTCCGTGTCTGAAAAAACATTATGCACACTGTTCAATAGTCCTGTAACTCTTGCCTCAGAACCAGCTTATTTTACACTTAGAGTGGGATGATGATTGATTTGGGGGGTTTAACGTCCCAAAACCACCATGTGATTATGAGAGACGCCGTAGTGGAGGGCTCTAAAAATTTTGACCAGCTGGGGTTCTTTAACGTGCACCCAAATCTGAGCACACGGGTCTACAACATTTACGCCTCCATCGGAAATGCAGCCGCCGCAGCCGGGATTTGAACCTGTGGGTCAGCAGCCACTAAGACCACCGCGGCAGGGCACACAGTGGAATGAACCCCCCTACTTTCATTCTTCTATTGCCTTGACTTGCATCGTCTTATGCCTGCAAATTTTGCCATTGCCAACACACTACGATTTCTTTATTGTTGTATTCTGTGTTGATTCTTTTAGCACCAATGCTAGAAATCTAATGGTATTACTTGGCTTACTGAACTCCATTTTTTTCCTCCAGATCTCATTGCACAGTAGTTGTCACGAATTGAAACACAATAATGAAAGGCTAATTAATGCACGTTTCCATTTCTATCATACGGGTCTTATTGAAGTAATTTTTATTCTAATGTGTAGATTAGAGCCAATATTATTTTTTCAGACCAGATTCGGCGAAACATGACGTGGTTATCTCGAGCAATTGCGCATGCAAGTCATTCTACTAAAAAAAATTTTACTTCGTATTTGAAAAATGCGAGTATTATACATTCTGAGTATGCATGTATGTTTTCTTTTCTGCCACAACTGACATTCAGCCGAAGAGCGTGCTTGTGTCCTTACCTTTTTATACTCCTCGGTGCCGGTGCAGTCTGTGACAGTGTTTCTCTCTCAAGCTGTGAATGCACATCTTGCATTGTCTTCCATACAGCCTTGTCGTGGAACATTTTTTAAATCTCTTCAAGTTTGCATGTTCCCCTGTACTTACTTAGTACCAGTACGGACTTTTATGATTGTACTGCACAGTTAAAGAATAGCAGTATGCTGCCAGTCATGACTTCTGAGTGCCAACCATATACAGTTCAATCCACTAATAACGATACCGGATTGAGCAATATGTATCCTTTGACCACTTTAGATTCCTGGACTCTTTCAATTACTACTTGAACAGCTGCTTAAACAATTACTACTTGAAAAGCTGCTTGAACATAGTTCTGAAACATCTAACAGGTGATATAAAGCAAAATAATATATTATCCAACAAGCCAATACGGTTTTCGACAAGGTTTGTTTACAACATCCCAACTCATTGAATTAGACCATGACCTTTCGAAAACTATTAACTTTTGGGCACGGATGGATAAATTTTTCATGGACTTGGCAAAAGCTTTTGATAAAGTGTCTTACTATAAGTTACTGAGCAAAAATTAATGGTATGTTCCAAAATCCTACCATTACAAACTGGTATCATATTTTCATTCGCGTGAGCAATATGTTGAAAGTGGTGGCACTAAATCTTCAGCTTCAGCTGTGAAGTCGTGAGTGCCTCAAGGTAGTGTTCTGGGCCCACTTCTGACATTTCTATCAGGCTCCTTTCTTATCAGGTACAAAATAAAATAGACACTGTGGATGATCAGGTAAAATTGCAAGAAAATATACAGAAAATAAAGAGGTGTGCAGAATGGCAAATGGTGCCAAACTTCTAAAAATTGTAGGTATGACAGTTTATGGAAAAAAACAGTACTTCAAATATAGTACGTATTTTACTAATAATCATGAACTTAGCAGAGTTGAACAACATAAGTACCTGTATTTTTGATATTTACAAGTGATCTTCGCTGGAATCAGCACACACATTGTGTGTGTATCCAAAGGCCAACAAGTCTCTCTGGTGTCTTAGGTGCCGTTTGCAACACAAGGAAATTTCTAGCTTACGAAATGCTCATTAGACCAATCATAGAATATGCTAAAACTGTCGGGATCTTTTTTATGTTACAAGTATCACGAAAATTGAAAAATTCAGCATCTTGCAGTCGGGTTTTTATATTCAATAAATATTGGTGGACAGATTCACCATCTCAACCATGTGCTCTAGCAGAGCTACCCATCATTCAGGCTGAAAGTGAATACGAAAGACCTAATTATCTTTACCTGACTATTAATCACCATGTCCGTGTAACATATGATGACTATTTTGATATCCATTGTGGGGAAACTTCTGATCAGTGTCATTCAAAGTTCATTCGTGCCCCTGCTGTTTGCAGCTATTGTTATAAATAAGTACTATAGCTTCTTCTCAAGAGCTATCACCGAATGGAATTCCTCGACCGAAGAAGCCTTTTCGTGTTCATCCGCAGATTTCTTTTTGAAAAGCTTTTTTTGTCTGTACATGAGCTTGTGCATATAATTTTATTATTTGGTCACATTTTGTGGTGTAGGAGTACTGCTACATATTCTTCCTTCATCAGTAAGTTCCAATTATACATGTTAATTTTTTTTCTGATTCTAGAATGATTATGTTTTCATATTTTTCTCTTCCACTCCTGTAATAGCCCTGTTTAAGAGCCAACAGTATCTGTGAATAATTACGATTATAACAATCGGAAACTGCTGCGTCGTCAAGCGTTGTGCTTTCTACGGTGAAATGAGCCGCTTATAATCATGCCCCTGTTAATTCCATCGCAAGATGAACTGGAAGCTTCACGGCCTCCATCGGTGTCAGTTAAAGCACTTTTTTACTACGTCAACGAAATAGAGTTCTTCAACAGCTGCTCCAAATCTTGTCCCTCACCCCGCCACCCCTCGTTACCGGTTGTAACGATATATTTTGGCTGTTTCGAGTCTGTGCCAAAAAGTAAAGAAACACAAAATCTCTGAAAAGAAAGAATAAAATGAGAAATTTAAGCTGCTGCACCCCCCCCCCCCCCTCCCACAGCCACTCAGCATTGATTCGATAGGGCTTGTGTTGCATTCTCAATACCTCCAACCATGTGCACTTCTCCGAACATGAAAACGCTACTCTGCGGCACAGGAATGTGTTGAGCCGCGCTGTGACAGTAGCCACTTCAGATTCACGGTATGCTTCACTGTTAAGTTAAACTGGTTTAGATTGACAAAATGTACTATGAAGACTCTAATGTCATTAACTACAACATCATAGCTTTCACTAGCAAAGGAAAAAATCAACCTCAATGTTTCATTTTAAAAGTTTGCGCTGAAATCTCTTGCGTGATGTGACAAATTTCAAGGTGCATTCGTTACGAAAAATCCGTGAATGGGGGTTGTGACAATACGTTGGCATGACACAATCCTGTTCACGGATTTTTCATCGCAAGCATCCACCTTCCCTTTCCAACTGTTTTAAAGGTGCATTCGTTGTATTTTGGCGACGTTGGCTCTACGAAATTTCCTGAAACTCAGCCTGCTATGTCTAGACCCTTCATAGGTCGATTGATTGTTTGATTTATGTGCGGTTTTAACGTCCCAAAACCAGCATATGATAATGAGAGACGCCATAGTGGAGGGCTCCGGAAATGTTGACCACCCGGGTTCTTTAACATGCACCCAAATCTGAGCAGACGGGCCTACAACATTTCCGCCTCCATCGGAAATGCAGCAGCGGCAGCCGGGATTCGATCCCGCGACCTGCGTGTCAGCAGCCGAGTACCTTAGCCACTGGACCACCACGGCGGGGCTTCAGAGGTCGAGGGACTTCATTTTTAGTGATAAAGAACTATGCTGGCCATATTAGACGTCGTCAAAATTTATGATGTCACAGTGTTTACTGTGGCAATTTCAAGGTGACATTGCCACCCACATTTCCTTATGGTGCATTTTCTCGCTTATCAAGAGTCTTCTCTCAGCAAGCATAATCATTTTGGAATTGAGAAAGAGTAATTTACTGTTACAAAAACAGATATTTTATCTTTTTAGTGTCTCTTTAATATTTTACCATAGCGGCTAAGGTTACTTTTGAAATCCTTCATGGCCACACAAGCCGTGGAGCGCTGGCTGCAGCCACCAAAATCCTCAGCGCAACAGGGCTAGTGACTTCAGTTTTTTCAGATATTTAACCCGAGGGAAATATCAGGCGAATGAGTCTTCAAAGCATTTCAAAGTTTGAAATTTCAGATGTTCTCACACTGATCGTACAGGGCTTGTGGTGGCCCTGTCAGTGTCCATATTTTGAAGTATCCCAAAAAATCTGCAGCTGTGTTGACACATCCCACCTGATAATATGTTTTCTTGTAACAGCCTGCTGACGTTTGCTCTTTATTGTGCAGCCCATTTATAACAATTATGAATTATAGCAATGGCGTTTTCACAGCGTTTGAGTATTGTTACAAACTGCACTATAGTACTCTTCAGTCTATTCTCTTTCGTTATTTTCTTTTCATGACAAACAACCCCTGCTACTGATTGCATTAGACGAACAGACAACTTTGTACACAGTGATTCCAGGGGTTTGCTGCCAAACTAGCATGTGGATCACCTTGCTAGGCTATTGAAAATAACCTTTCTCCTTGGTATACTGATAAGATATTGGCTAAGCTTCTAAGTAGCTTGTTGTGCAATGTTTCCAGCGCTGCTTAACAGGGTTGTGTCACTTGTGAACTGCTGCTTGCCGAGACATTTGCAGCTGATGCACATGCCCAACCCTTTCGAGTCCAACTGTGTAAACACTCCTAAGCATGCTGTGAATGATTGGAAGTATTGCCTAGAAAAATACTTATTTATATGAATGGTTGTAATTTTTTTTTGCCCGAGCCATTCATTTACATTCAGTATTATTCTAGCTTTTCTGCGAATGATCTAGAAGGCTGTAAATTATTCGGAGGTGTTTGCTAAAAGATTCGTGCACACTTCTACCTATTATTGACCTTTTGCTATTTCTATTGAACTATCATAGATGTGGTTCAGAAAATTACAAGACAGTCATGATAGGTGTGAGGTACTTTCATTATCATGTAACACTTTAGAGATAAAATTTTATGACTAGCAAACAGCATGAAGAAATATTTCACAACTTGAAAATTTATTTTATTTTAAAAGTACAAACAACACCACAGAGCTCTGCAACAGCAGCTGCAGGAAAATCAACTGTACAGAGAGTACAAAAACAAGCGTTCTTTGCAGTACATATTGCTCCTTTCAATGACTAGTGCAGAATACAGTTTTAAAAAGTGGCACATTTGGTTATTTTTAATGACTTCTTAAAAATGCAACACTGTGGCAGTGTGAAAGGCACGTGTCGTGTGAGTTAGGATCGAAAAAATTTAACCAACCAAATATGGTGAAATGCCGGTTTAGCAAACCAGACAATTTTTTTTTTCAGTGATGTCATTGCGCAGTATGATAAAATAAGTTTGATCGTACAAGCATGTGCAATTAAGCACTAAGATTTAACACATCTTTTACTAAGCAGACAGATACAAAGAATTGGCCAATAGAACAATTTTAAAAAGTAGCCAGGGAGGTAGCAGTAAACAAGACCAAAACAGGTGGTCTGAAGGTTGTGCAGGTACCTAGATTGCAATGATATTTTACAGGTATATTGCACAAATGAAAGGGCAAGTTTTTTGTACTGACACTTGTACGAAACACACCAACAATATGTAGAATGCACCACGTCAAGTTCCACTGGTAAAAGAAATTGAAATGTAAAACAAAAAAACGAAGTTATAATCATGACACATGAGTGAAAGGTAAAATGGCACAGAGTGCATCCTAATAAATAAGTAGTTGTACTTGAAGCAATTAAAGGTGCCATCATAACTAAAATGATAAATCAACATGCCTCACTTTGGCTACTGCATGGTCGTGAAGCAGCGAGTACCGTACCTACAGTAACCATGATCGAAACCTGTATGGTGCACCTGCTCTTCAGTATCCGACTGACTAGTATCACTGACAGAAGCCTGCTCAGGGGAATATAGCTCAGCTGCTTGTAGGCGCATGTCGAAAGTTTTGGATTTGGGTGAGCAACAGTGGTACTGCTCCTCACTTTTGTCACTGGATGAATCACTTAGTGCATGGCTTGACGACGATGAGCTCATTACTGAGGTGTCTGTTTTTGAAGGAGGTGAAATTCTCTCCAACTTTGCTAGAATATTGGAGAGCGCAGGCCTAAGCCAAGGTGTGGCTTGGTCTTCTACCATTGGTGCTGCTACCAAGTGGCCCATTATTTCTTCAAGCATGGTCACGCAGTCACGGTCGTCAGTGCAGTCTTCCTTTTCCAACTCTTCAATGTCTTCAATCATGTCTTCAACTCCTTCCTCATCGTCCCAGTCCTGCAATATGTAGCAAAGGAGGTTTTTGTATTTCAATACACTCTCATCCAATTTGTGTGAATCCATTCCATGGTTCCTTGAAAAAGCATTTCAGGACCCTTTAACAGCAACGTCCAGTCTTAAAAGATCATAAAGACATCTACAACTTCCCACATAGGCAAAGATACCTTGCAGTATCTTTGTTGAGCAGTGGCCTTGAATGGTCGTTGCTCTAGAAAGAGTGATATTCACAATGCCCATATTAAAGGGGTGCTGACACGAAAATTTGTGGCCGAGATAGGCGGTGGCAGTGGTTCTCAGATGGCAATCTGCGCATCCTAGGGGGTCTGCGAAGCCATTTCTATGATCTGCAAAACCTCACCAGCTTTTTTATTTTTTATTTTTTTTTACTTAAGCAACTCTGTGTAAGCGATACTGTGCCACATATTGATGAACTGTCCAAAATGAAATGCGGAAAGTTTCTTTGATGTTTTTGATAGCAATAAAAGGCAGCTGTTTCATTCTCCAGTTGTGTTAATTTGCCTACTTACCCCACCCCACCTCCCTACCATCCGCGGCTAGGGGTTCCCCATCACTTCCACCAGTCCGCAAGGGGTCCCTGACACATCCATGACTGAGAACCACTGGCCTGTGGGATCGATTTCCATGAACATCCCATGAGTATTAAAAGCGAATATAGCTTGAAAGGTGTCTTAAATCAATTTTGAAGTTTATGTGAGCGATCGACTCCATCGTGCTATTTACACCTTAAGGACCCCTTACTTCCCTCAAGTGACTTCGCTGGAGAGAGAGAGAGAATAAACTTTATTGGGTTCCAGCATGCGGGATTCCCTCCGGTCGCGCAGGGCGTGGGGTTCACCCTATCTCACGTTACACTAGAAGTCCTAATGTCACGCGGGCCTAGACCTCAAGGCCTTCGTGCCCCGTCGCCGCTCGGATTACTGAGGGTGTCCCCCTTTCGCCTTTGCAGCGCCAGTGCGACCTCGAGCTGCCGGACGGCCCTTCGCTGGTCTTCTGGGTCCGTAGACCCCACACGCTGTTCTACTTGCGGCGGTAACACCGGACCGTCCGCGCTGTCTGCGTCACATCCCCAGAGTATGTGAGCCAGGGTGGCTCTCGCGCTCGCGCACACACTGCACATTTCACTCACGTAGAGTTCGGGGCACACGTGTCGCGCTAGCGATGGGGTCAGCACAGTCTCGGTTTGGAGCTGGCGCAACCTCACCGCCTCCCACCGGGTAAGATCCCTGTGCGGAGGCGGGAAGCCACGCCGTTGCTCCCTGTACCACGCGAGGATGTCGCCGTAATCGAGCAGCTGCTCCTCGCCTTCTTCTTTGGTCGCCGTCGTGTCTTCGGAGGCGGGCGCGGCCGCGGTCCGGCACGTGGCGAGACCACGGGCCGCGGCATCCGCCTCCTCGTTGCGGTTCGGAGATCCTGGTATCAGGTCCCTACCCATGTGAGCCGGGAACCATTTTAGCGTCAGCCTCGACTTGGACTCGTCGCTTGCCAACGCCCTAGCAGCCGCCCCGCACACGGCTCCGCGCGAGAAGCTACGGATGGCCGTCTTGCTGTCACTGAGTATTGTCCGCACGCCCGGGGAGCGCGCCGCCAAGGCTATCGCCATCTCCTCGGCCTGGCTCGCGCTCCGCGTACGCACGCTGCATGACAGACTTCGCTGGAGCAAGTTACAACGACGTCATTGCCGCCATTTTTCTTTGGTTGCAATCGCTCCAACAGACTATTACTTGGCAGCTGCTCGCGAGTCTGTGGCGGTGGTGCACGAGAAAAAACTTTTGTGTTTGACGTCATTGCTGTGCTGTTTTCTGTTCAGAAAAATTTGGTATAAATGAAGCTAGCGAAACGGCCGCGAGCGCATTATGAGCATGGCATGTAGTCATGTTGTTACATGACATGAATGTCATGATTTTTATGCTAGGGTCTTGTGTTCACCATGCAATCATGCCATACTATACCAGTTTTGTAATATGCCATGTGAACGAAACCACTGCAAGAGCTGCACGATCATGAAATGTAAATCATGACATACATGTCATGATTGTCATATTATGACTAGTCAAACATGTTCATCATACAGTCATGTTATGTCATACCAAGTTTGGTATCGATACCTTTATCGAAAGGGCCGGGAGAGCTAAAAGTCATAGGCGAATAAATAAATAAATAGATAGATAGATAGGTAGACAGACAGACAGACAGACAGACACAGATAGACAGACAGACAGACTAGACAGACAGACAGACAGACACCCACGAAACACGAAACGTCGTATAAACTTCTCGAAATGACTAAAAAGGTATGTGGACATCTAGGTATACTTGATGTTGAATAAACGTTTTCAAAAGAAGTTTTTTAGAAGACATTGAGAAAACGTTCTTTACAAGAAGTCTTTTTCAAAACATTTACTAAAAGCTATCTTCTAGAACTTTAGTAGAATACGCGGATGAGGTTTTGAGGGTGTTTTCTCAGTTTCTTTTTTTTTTTTTAATCAAAATACTATTCGCTTTACATATTTATGTAGCAAATATTTTTACATTATTTTTACATATTTAAATGTAATAATTGAGCTCTCTAGTCAGCATTAAGAAACTAAGATGCGCAAATGCGGTGTGCGCCTGCGCAACTAGAACGATTTTACTTGTCTGGACGTGTTTACCGGTCGCTCAGTCGCCTCTCGAAGAAGCGGGTTTGAGTCGATTTCTCTGGTGTTTTAAATGTGTGCTTGCGCTTTGTGTTCGTGTTTTGTCTTCTGCCAGTGCTGCTAACTACGAAGAAGCGCTATACCCAAGCGAAGACGTGTGGGTTCGTATCCTGGAGCACTCACCAGGTATGTACCACACTGCTGCTGTCGGTGCTTTGTTGTCACTCACCACGTTTTTCCTACCATGTGCACGATGAGTGAGCTTTCGCTTACATGGGGACCCAGCTTTTCTGTAGTACTTCAGCAGTGTAAAAGTAAAGTTGTGCGAAGTTAGCACGACACGCGTAGCGGGAATTCGGCGGCAGATTCGAGCAGAGTTGTGGCGGCTGTCCGCCTCTGTTGGCACGAGGGCCCTGCTCCCGAGTGACCACTATTTTTTTTATTAATTCTGGGGCATTTGTTAGCTGTAGGCATTGATGCCTGTTCATATTGTGCACTATTGAAGTGAACGTGTCTAAGGCAGTTTCATCTGCTGTACGTTCCATTTTAAACAGCTACAGTATTTATACGTTATGACTACTATCAGAGACGTTTTGGCAAGGCTCTGTTTGGCATCTCTAAATTTTTTCTTTGCCAGTAGTCGAATGTATGCCGGTGTATGCATCCGCGCCAGCACGAGTCTTTATAAACTACCATGATACTCGAGTTGATGCGTGTTCGTGTGCAGTGTGTTGCATCCTCCTAGGTAGGGCTAGCAAAGGTTGCACCTACACTTAAGTGTTCATGCAGCTCGTTTAGTAAAATTCTAACTTTCGGTATACACCAGCAACATAGGTTGCCTCATGCGGCCTGAATCCGTGGATTTTAAGCCATTCGTTTATCCTGAACTGTATTTTAGAACGAATATTTCATGGCTAAATGTGGCCAAATTCTTGTACCTTACGTGCGAGCACTAATTCAGTCATAAGTGCACGCGTTCGAGCACCATGGATTTTACTATGCTTGTTTCCACCATGCTTGTATTTTGATTTGGTTTATTAAATCTTTTATGCACCTCACCCAACCTTGGTGCTGAAACTTTGCTAAACACATTTACGTGTATGAACATTAGGAATAGTTTATAGCATTACCTCCAATAAAATTTTCTGATTATTGACAAGCTTAACAGTATATTGGATAAAGTAAACTTTCTAGGCATGCGCGACAGATGTTGACAGAATCTGTTGTATGTGTAGAATCAATATTTTATTTATCACTCAAAACTCGCGATAATGTCATAAATCATGGTAAGCATGCATAAGTCATGCACGTATTGCTGTTAAAATGTAAAGTTGGAGAGTGTATTTACTTGAGAATAATAAATATACGTAGAATGCAAGTGTTCAAACAATTGGCACCGAAGGAAATACACAAATTTGGAAATCAGTTTCATCAGATCTTATTGCTAAATCGCGGTCAATAGCATCCATGATTCTGGTTCCCGCAGATTGTTGCAGAAGCTTGCATGCTTTATTGGGATGGTGTGTGGTTCAAGATGGGTGCCTCATATGGTTTTTTTTTTTTTTTTTGCATTGACAGATTGTGGTGTTTGAGTGAGGGGTACTGCCATTTTAGCCAACCAGAATCATTGAAACTGATGACCATAATTTGGCAGCACACAATAGTATTTTATTAACACCAATTTATGACATTATAGGTATAATTGTCTCGGTGTGAGCAGCCAGAAAAAGGCTACATTAGTTGTATTTGAAATCAAATTTATGTTCAAATATATAGGGGTGATTCCACGAGAGATCGACACGGGTCCAAAAGTTGATATTTTAGATTTCATTGAGTATTTTATATTTCGTGCACCTCTCACCAGGTAGGCCGAAAGTCAACTTCGTTTTATGATAAGGGTATACCTTACAAGAAAAAAAAAATATCAAACTTCACCAACACGGAGGCACCGATTTCGTCACCTGTCATTTTCGAAAATTGCAGATGCTATAAAAAGACAAATATTTTTGTTTCAAGGAAGATATTTTTTACCTGAAATGCATGTCTAATGAAGAATGATTTCATACGGTTTCAAGTTTGTAGACCTTAAGAAAATCGCTTTTAAAAATGTCTAATTTTGCGACAGTTTAAAATAAGTTACGTATTCCCAATTTTTTGTCCCCGAAAGTAATGCAAGCAGCGTTTTCAAACTTGACACGTTTTAAGGATACAGTGTGTTCATTAGGTACATAAATTATTGCTGCCATAGGGCAAATATAAATATTTATATATTGCCTCAACGTTCTCATATTGGCAAAAGTGTACTCAACTGAAATTTGAATAATAAAAAAAACCCCATCT